CACCCCCACCTCCCACATTCAATCCTCCCCCCGGCTGTTGTCTTTGTCTTTGGGTCCTTTATACATGCTCCTTGACTTGCCCCTTCCCCTTCTTTCCCCCATTATCCCCCTTCCCCCACCACTCTGTTTACTGTCAGTCTGTTCTTTATTTCTATGTCTCCGGTTCTATTTTGCTCATTTGTTTGTCTTGTTCATTAGGTTCCACCTATAGGTGAGATCAGATGGTATTTGTCTTTCACTGTCTGGTTCATTTCACTTAGCATAATGCTCTCCAGTTCCATCCTGCTGTCAAGAAGGGTAGGAGTTCCTTCCTTCTTTCTGCTGCTTAGTATTCCATTATGTAAATGTACCACAGTTTATTGATACACTCATTTACTGATGGGCACTTAGGCTGTTTCCAGCCCTTGGCTATTGTAAATAACATTGCTATGAACATTGGAGTGCAGAGGTTCTTTTGAACTGGTGTTTCAGGATTCTTAGGGTATAATCCCAGCAGTGGAATTGCCAGGTCAAAAGGCAGTTCCATTTTTAGGTTTTTGAGGGAATTTCATGCTGTTTTCCACAGTGGCTACACCAGTCTGCATTCCCACCAACGGTGCACAAGGGTTCCCTTTTCTCCACAACCTTGCCAGCACCTGCTGTTTGTTGATCTGTTTATGATGGCCATTCTGACCAGTGTGAAGTGGTATCTCATTGTGGTTTTAATTTGCATCTCTGTGATAGCTAGTGATGCTGAGCATCCTTTCATATATCCTCCTTGGAGAAATATCTGTTCAGGTCCTTTGCTCATTTTTTAATTGGATTGTTTGTCTTCCTTGTGTGGAGTTCTGTAAGTTCTCTATGTATTTTGGAGATCAAACCCTTGTCTGATGTATCATTGGCAAATATATTCTCCCATATGGTTGGTTCCCTTTTCATTTTGCTGTTGTTTTCTTTAGTTGTGCAGAAGCTTATTAATTTAATGAAGTCCCATTTTTTAATTTTCTTCATGTCTCTAATATTTTCTTAATTAGTATCAAAAGAGTGTACATTGAATGTCATCTGTAGTTGGCCCAGGGTTAATCTTTCTTCCCTTTCTGTTGTAGGATGACTTTTTGAACCATTGGACATGGCTATGGCTATTTAGTAGCATCTAAGTTTCTGGACAGAATATGTCAACCAACTATATATAATACAGTCAGTTGTCAGAAACACAATGATTAGTAGTAGGTGTAATGGATTTTGAAGCCAAGAGCCTAGAATGTGTAACCCAGGCAATAAAACATTCCAGAATTCAGCATGTTCTGTTTTATAGAGCCAGTTTCTTCTTTTTAGACTGCTCTATTTGTCCTCAGTAATTTTATAGATGCAACAAATATTTGCTATAGCACAAATTCTCACTTAACTACCTAAGGGGAAATCAAAGGCTATACCATTGTCCATGGAAACAGTCATTAATTAATAGATTTAGAATCAGAATTTGTTGGACTTCCAGAGAAGAAATACTATCACTTAATGACTACTGCTAATGTCAGAGACAAGTTTTAAGATAACTTTTCTAGTCACATTATTTCCATTGTGGGAATTATAGGTCACATGAGAAGGAAATCAAGTATACCTCCTGGAAGATTTCTAGAATAATCTGTGCTTGTTTTATTTTGGAAGCTTCTGGCTAATATATTAAAGGAAACATAATTTATTAGAGGGATGGTAGTTTTAAATATCTGCAAATGTCTAACAATTACTCCTAATACACAGATTAAGTTAGTGTACAGTTGACATGCATAAGCTCGATATCCATGTATGAAATAGTATCCTAGTGGAGCACGGTTTGTATTGAGAGCATCAGTATCATTTACTATAATAGGAGTGAGTAAATTGTGTGTCCCTTGAGGTGCACAGATTCTTTTGAGTGGAATCAAAACATTTCTATAAAGCAGTAAAGAAAAGCTTTAACCAACCCTGAAAATAAACAAACAATAACCAGAACATATTTTTAGTATATTGCAGAATACATTTGTATGAAATCTATTCAGAAGGATTTAAAAAGCCTTTGAGGCTTTGGTTTCTGTACATGTTCTACCTTTCCAGTTTTTTTCAGGACTGAATTGTTGGCAGGAAGATACATTTGGGTCATCCTTGGCAATACCTCTAACATTACCCAATAAAAGATTACTTAATATTGTTACCAGTTTATATCTTCTATTACAGGTAATGACATGAAGCATTTTTACTAAATTCCATTTTGAATTATTTAATGCTATCAAGTCAGCTATCCTGAGAATGCCAAATATTATCTTCATGCAATGAACATCCTAACTTTTTCCATTTTATTTTCTCTGAATCAGGGACTTGTCTCTAACCATTAATAAACAGCCTCTTTTCTGTAGAATTACAGGAGCAGTTATCTTGGTTAATGTAGTTTATTTAGTGTGGTGGTCCTTAAGATCACAAACATGAGATTCTGCGTCTTTGTACTTAGGTTGACCTTTTATTTTTATTATAGCTATGTCCTTAGGTAACAGTAAAGCATCAAAAAGTTCTTCAATTAGTCATCCTTTTTTCCTTTGGTTTTTTATTAAGGGTAAAAACCTCTTTGTTTCCAAAGCATTCCAAATTGGTGGAGTAACCCAAAAGCACATCTACTATCAATGTCAATATTTGTTTTTACATTCTTCCAGCTGGCAGGCTCAAGTAAGGGAAATTATTTTAGGTATCTGAGATGATTTAATTTCTAGGGTGTGGTTTATATTTTAAGAGCTAATTTAGGTCTATAATAGCATTTTTAAAAATGAGCAAATAGGAGGACTGGGTATGGGTGGAGGGATTGAACAAAAAAGAAAAAAGAGAAAAAAACTCATGGACATGGACAATAGTGTGGTGATTGCTGAGGGTGGGCGTGGGAGGAGGTGGAGAAGAGTATAAGAGGGTAGATGGTGGTGGAAGGAGACTTGACTTGAGGTGGTGAACACACAATAGGGATGATGTGTTGTGGAATTGTGCACCTGACACCTGTATAATTTTGTTAATCAGTGTCACCCCAATAAATTCAATAAAAAGGAAAAATGAGCAAATAAATCTAGGCCAGGATGATCCAAGGGAATTTCTAACAAAATGACTTACGATTACAATAAGAGCACTGAGAGAGTTATCAGAATAATTTGGTGACAGAAAGGAACATCTTGCTAATTTGGAAATTTTTTAGGAAAAACCCAAATTCTATTTTTTTCCTTGATACATTATTTAACAAACTGTAGTAAAGGTTCTATGAATATACCTTTGTTTATATACATTTAGGCATGCATAGATATGAAAACATACTAATAGGTAATATTATAAAGCTTTAAGTAGAGCTTTAAAATATAACTAATTATTTGGTAAATTTAAAGAATATATATCATATTAAATTTATCTTTTGAACGAACTATAACTTTTAAGATAAAGAAACAGAAAATTAGACCTATTATCCTGTTCATATATCTGTAATTCTCTGTGATTACTATACTTATTACAATCACCCACATTGATAACTATCTTTAATTCAGCAATCTATTTCTAATTTCTTTGAGGCACACACAGACACACAGAGATGGCAGAAAGTTAAAAATCATCCATTTACTTTTCCCAACTATATTTATCTTATATTATTTAAAACTGAGAGGGCCACAACACACATATATTAATTATTATCCAAAAGATTTTGCATATATTTTTTTCTTTGTAGAAACTATATAGACATTTAAAGATTACATATTAATTAACTTATGTCTAAGTAAAGTTAATTAGTCTAGGAACTAAAATTTAGTTAACACATTAAGTCTTTATGAATTGTAGCATTTAAAATAAATGCTTAAAACAACATACATTATAATTATTTTATTTAAATACAATTTTATATAGGTAATTTTAAAGAAAACTGTGCTCCTGAATAAACTAATTGTTAATGAGTAAATCAGGAGAAAGCTGTCTTTTATCTTGAAATTGACATTTTTTTCATATGTGGAATCTAATCATCACAATAAATTGATAAATAAAATAGAAACAAAAGCATAGATACATGGAACACACTGACAGCTGGCAGAGGGGAGGGGTTGGGGACTGAATGATAGATGGTGAAGAAGTTAACCAAAGAACATTTATGCATGACTTATGGACAGGGAAAACGATATGGCGATTGGCTGAGATGGAGGGTCTGGGTGGATGTGGAAAAAGTGAGAAAAATTGGGAACAAGTATAATAGCATAAACAATAAAAAAGCAGAAAAGAATGAGGATAGTAAGGAGCCTCAGGAACAACTTCAAGTGTATCAACATTGGCATTATAGGGGTGCCAGAAGGAGAAGAGAGAGAACAAGAAATTGAAAACCTATTTGGAAAAATAATGACAGAAAAATTCCCTACCTTGGTGAAGGAAACAGAAATACAGTTCAGAAGGTGCAGAGTTACAAACAAGATGAATCCAGAGAGTCACACCAACACACATGATAATCAAAATTTGTTAAAAGGAAAAATGTTAAAGACAGAGAGAGAATCCTAAAAGCAGCAAGAGAAAGGCAGTTTGTTACCTACTAGAGAGTTCCCATAAGACTGTCACCTGATTTCTCAACAGAAACTTTGCAGGCTAGCAGAGATTTGCAAGAAATATTCAAGTTGATGGAATGCAAGGACCTACAACAAAGATTACTCAGCAAAGCTATCATTTAGAATTGAAGGAGAGATAATTAGCTTCCCAGACAAGAAAAAGCTAAAGGAGTTCATCACCCCTAAACCAGTAGTATATGAAATGTTAAAGGACTTTAAGAAAAAGAAGGGGATGTGCTCCAGAGGCCGCGAGTGGCTGGGGCCTGCAGAGCGGGTCAGCTGTGGAGGGCATAGAAGCATTCCCAACCTAGAGCTCCCCTGGCACTGGTGCTGAGGTGAGCGGGCCTTTGAGTGAGGAGTTTTCGCTGGTGAATACCACTTCAGCCCTCGTGGTATGGCTGCGAGTCAGGTTGCTCTGCTGTGCTCCAACAACTCCTAAAGATGCATCCTGACTTATCTTTACACTTGCACAATGAAGAATGCAATGTCTTGATTAACTTACTTAAGGATTGTCACAAAAATCACAGCATTCTGAAATTTTCTGGTCATTGCAATGATCTTGATCAGGAGATGAGAAAATGCTTGAAGGAGTACATGGAAAAGAGGACCAAGAGCAGGGAGCATGGCAATGAAATGTGAGAGACTTTTTAATTCTCCAGATGAATCTGAAACATAAATTATATTTTCACTGGATGCTTTGGCTGAGAGAAGACCTAAAGACTCTTGGCTGATAACCAAAAGAACCCCATTTCATTTGATCTCCAGAATCTTTTGAATAGCAAGTGACCCATGAGAATTCGAGCCATGGAGAAACACAGAAGCCCTGGATTCAGACTATTTGTTGGGCAGAGACTTTAGTGCTCTGACTCCTTTACCAACACACCTGACTTTTAACATGTTTCTTTAATTTGCCTACAACCACTTAACATTTGAGTAACTTATATCTCCCTCAATAAAATAATTGACTTCAATTATTTAGAAAGAAAGAAAGAAAGAAAGGAAAGAAGAAAGAAAGGAAGGAAGAAAAAGAAGTGAGGGGGAAACTTTGTTTAGATTGTTCATTAGATTTCACACATAACTGAAATCATATGGTATTTGTTTTTCTCAGATTGGCTTATTTCACTTAGCAATATACTCTCTAGGTCCATTCATGCTGTTGGAAAGGGTAAGAATTCCTAAATGAAAACAGACTCATAGGTACAGAGAACAGATTGACAGCTGTCATAGCAGAGGGTGTAGGGGTGATGGGTGAGAAGGAGAAAGGATTAATGAAAAAAACCTCATAGACAGACAACAGTATGGTGATACCAGAGGGAAAGAGGGGTTCAGGGAGTTAGGAAAGGGTAAAAGAGGGATAAATGGTGCTGGAAGGAGACTTGACTTTGGGTGGTGACCACACAATACAATATAAAAATGATGTATTATGCAATTGTTCCCCTGAAACCTACATAATTTTATTAACCAATGTCATCCCAATAAATTCAATTAAAAATTAAAAATATGAACAATAAATTGGCAATGAATATATGTCTATCAATAATTGAATATAAAAAAACAAAATAAATGAACAAACAGAACAGAAACAGTTGCATAGATACAGGGAACATTTTGATGGTTGCCAGACAGGAAGGATGTTGGGGGATGGGTGAAAGGGGTAAAGAGGTTAAGAATCACAAATCAGTTGTTACAGAATAGTCATGGGGATGTAGAGTGCAGCATGGGGAATATGGTCAATAGTATTTAAATAACTATATGTGGTGTCAGATGGGTGTGAGATTTGTTAGGATAATTGCCTAGTAAGTTATGTAATGTCTAATCACCAGGATGTACTCCTGAAACTAATATAGTAATGAATATATGTCAACTGTAATTTAAAAATTAAAAAATGATGAGCAACATTGAAAGAAAAAACAAACTGACAGTAATGAGAGGGAAGGAAGGTGGGGGGTAAAAGGGAAAAGAAGGGGAAGGGTCAAATCAAGGAACATGGATAAAGGACCCATGGACAAAGCCAAAGTGGGGAAGGATGGACGGTGGGAGGTAGAGGTTGGTGGGCAGGGGGAAGTGGTGACGGGAAAATGGAGACAAATGTATTTGAACAATAAATAAATAAATAATTTTAAAAATCTGAGGAAATTTTTAAAAAGTAAAATTAAAATTAAAAAATGGCCCTGGCTGGTGTGGCTCAGTGGATTGAATGCCAACCTGCTAACTGAAAGGTTGCTGGTTTGATTCCCAGTCAGGGCACATGCCTGGGTTGCAGGCCAGGTCCTCAGTAGAGGGGCATGTGAGAGGCAGCCACACATTGATGTTTCTCTCCCTTTCTCCATCCCTTCCCTTCTTTCTACAAGTAAATAAATAAAATCTTAAAAATAAAAAATGTAAAAATAAATAAAAAGAAGTGTACTTGAGAGCAAGGTACCCCAATTTGAACAAACAGAAAACAAATTACTTTTATTGGTATGCAGAAGCTTTTAAAAGCCTTTAAGATTACAAAATAACTGCATTAAAAGATTCACTACAAGAAGCCTAATAAAAAGTGAAAGACACAAGCTCTGGCTGGTGTGTCTCAGTGGATTGAGCGTCGGCCTGCAAACCAAAGGGCTGCTGGTTCAATTCCCAGTCAGGGCACATGCCTGGGTTGCAGACCAGGCCCCCAGTGTGGGGCATGCGAGAGGCAACCACACATTGATGTTTCTCTCCCTCTCTTTCTCCTTCCCTTCCCCTCTCTAAAAATAAATAAATAAAATCTTTTTAAAAAGTTAAAGACACAAGAAATACCTAAGGTAAAAGGCAATGGTACTGTATACACCCCAAGTGTCCACCAATAGATGAGTGGATAAAACAACTATAGGACATTTACACAATGGAATTCTACTTGGCCATAAAATAAAAAGAAAATTTTACCCTTTGCAACAGTATGGATGGACCTGGAGAACATTATGCTAAATGAAATAAGCCAGTCAGAGAAAGACAAATTCCATATGATTTCAATTGAATGTGGAATCTAATGAACACACTGAACTAAAAAGAAAAACAAAGAGACACATAGATGGGGAACAGAGGACAGCTATTGGGAGGGTGTTAGGGGTGGAAGGATTGAGCAAAAAGGAAAAAGGACTCATGGACATGGAAAATGATGTGGTGATTGCAGGGGTGGAAGATAAGGTATGAGGGGACTAAATGGTAATGGAAAAAATATAATATAGTTTAAATTTTAAAAAAAGACAATGGTACTACCATGACCCCTACCATTCCCTAGTTTTCTTTTACACATGTTTATGTTTTACTAATTCTGAACTGCCTTTCCACTTTGAAGAGGCTATTAGACAATTTTCTTTTAAAATACCACTACTTGAGGTTAAGAAACTTCCTCAGATATACATCAACCCTTGGTGGAATACCGAATAATAGTTAAGGAGTTTCCTAAACCCAAGGAGGAAACCAAAAGAAATTTGAAGGCTATAGTATCATTATCTGTATCAGTATCAATATCAGTATCAATAACTGCAGGCTTCCAGACCTTTATAAGCTTATTCACATGTTGGTAAGACCTGGTGAAACCCAAAAATGGGTGTAGGAAACAAAGTGGCAAAATCCTGAGGATGATATTTGAAATCCTCAGATAAAGCTTGCACAATAGCAACTAAACTCTTACAAGACATTCTGTAGAGTCTTTTTTGCCTGTACTGATTGGTCTTTTATTTAAACATGCAAAAATGATCAAACTGTGCAGACTTTAAAGCCCACTTGGAAGCCCGCTTATTATGACATTCTGGTTCCATACAATAAACAGGGTTCTCCAACTTGTTCTAGCTACCCTCTTTGTAAATGAATTATCTGTTGAGATTAGTAGATTTTAAACAGGCATAAAATAGGGTGGGAAGTCACAGACCTGATGGAACTCATGACTATAGTTGAGCATTTTGAAAGGATACTGGAGCAATATCATTAACAAAAATCTACCACGCTTTTAGCTTTACAGCTATAAAATCTCTAAGGCCAAGGATGCAAAACAGCATCTTACCTTCTCACATTACAACCCCTAGGGATTTTATTAGGAAATCACTGGCCCAGAAATCAATGTCTTCTCTGTAATCAAAAAGAACACTTGAAAAGAGATTTTCCTCAAAGACCCCATGCAAATTCTTCATCAACTTGAATGCCTCCATATATACCTCTAAAGGAGGGCTCTCACATGGACCCCCTCACAGTTTACAGGGATCTGATGGGTTCTCTGGTAAGCTATTACCAGTAATTTCTTTAAAGACCCAAGGGGAAACTAAAATTAAAATTAATGGGAAACCTTGTTAAATTCTAGTTGATACTGGAGCTACATTTTCTACTTTAAAACCCATACTCATAGAAAAACAAATCCCTTGGAGTAAAAAGGTTTCCATAGTGATCTATCTAACACAGTTAAGAGACAGTTTTTATCTCAACCAGTACAAATGATACTGGCATCTTTTTCTGAAAAACATTTTTCTTTTCGATGTGATATAGCCCCGGTCCATCTATCAGGTAGAGTTCTCCTTTCTAAATTAAAAGGAGACCTTACCTTAGAATTTCCTGACCAAACTGAACTTAATATTACAGTTTATCCTTGACAGAGAAAAGGAAGAATTCCAACAAAGGTCCCCAAATTTAATAAAGGTGCCTAATATCTGTGGGCTACCTTTAACACTGACATTGGAAGATTCAGATAGATATAACTAAATCTCTCACCAAATTACCACAATATCCATTAAAGCCTGAGGCCATACAAGGCCACAAACCTATATCAGGGACCTAGTTGTCCAGGGGCTAATCATTTCCTGTACTAGCTTCTACAAGATGCTGATCTTACAGGTCCAGAAACCTAATGGATGAGAATGGCGATCTGTCCAGGATTTGAGAGCTATTAATAAGCTAGTTATTCTTCATACCCCAATGATTCCAAACCTGAACACCCTTTTGTCACAGATTCCATGAGACTCAAATGGTTCACTGTTGGAAACCTTTGTTCAGCCTTTTTCAGCATTCTTGTAAACCCCAATGGCCAATATATATTTGCATTTAGTTGGAACAATTGACATCATATATGGAGAGTTACGCCTCATGGGTTCACTGAGACTTCTTATTTCTCTCAAGTACTTCACCAAGATTTGAATACATCCCAGTTCCCATGAAAGTAAACCTTTTTACAGTATGTAAATGACCTCTTGATGTGCTCAGTTACTTAAAAAATATCCATAACAGATTTCATTTATTGCCCTGACAAATGTGGCTCAGTTGACTGGGAGTCATCCATAAGGCAAAAGGCCTCCAGTTCGATTCCTGGTCAGGGCATATGCCTGGGTTGGGGCCCAGTCCCCAGTTGGGGGTGTGTGAGAGGCAACCAACTGATGTTTCTCTTACATCCATGTTTCTGTCCCTCTCTTTCTCCTTTTCCCCCTCCCTAAAAATAAATAAATAAAATCTTTTAAAAATATGTCATTTATTTGCTGCAATAAATAGCTGAAAAAGGACACAAAGTCTCTACAGAAAAAAATTACATTTATGTTTAGACAGTGTCATGGCTTAGATCATGATCTAACACTGAAGGAATTCAGTTGTCTCCAAAAAGAATTGAACTAATTCAGGAATTTTCTATACTTGTC